TTGTGTGTACCGGCAGTAGATTATGTGTGTACTCAGTGGAGATCAGAGACTGTGTGTACCAACAGTAGGGTATATATGTACTTAATGGAGACTAGAGACAGTCTGTGTGTACCAGCAGGTTATATGTGTACTTAATGGAGAATACAGTAAGTTTGTCTGTACCAACAGTAGGGTATATGTTTACTTTATGAGGATTAGAGACAATTTGTGTGTACCAACAGTAGGGTATATGTGTACTTAATGAGGATTAGAGACAGGTTGTGTGTACCAACAGTAGGGTATATGTGTACTTAATGAGGATTAGAGACATTTTGTGTGTACCAACAGTAGGGTATATGTGTAGTTAATGAAGATTAGAGATAGTTTATTTGGACAAACATTGGCGTATATCTATATTGGGGTATATAAATGGGGATTTGTATGATTAAATGTTGATTAGTTACTAAAACCACAAATAATGGCATAGTTACTATTATCAAATATTTATTGCTGTTAGAAATATTTATTGCTGCTACTCTCATCATACATTCATTCTTACTTTTACTTTTGTAAAGTATTTTTTTTAAAATATTGTTAATTTGATAGAAATTATTTTATTACCACAGCAATCAAAGTATTTGTCCTCCATCATTATATCTTCGGATGACTTGAAAAATTACAGTGTGGGGCAACCAGAAACTCTAAGAACAAAATTTAAAGGTATTTGTTTTGTGTGAGTGTTTAGTGAATATTGCAGAATACAATAACAGCCTCGTGGATAATGCAGTGGTTTGTCCAATCACTGGTTTGCTACTTCACTGTTATTTAGTCAGCCTACTGAGTTTACCAACTCACCACTTTTTCAGTTCACTGTTTGTCAATGGACTGTCATTGTCTTTGTTTTTGTGGTGTAGGACTCAATTTAATTTATCGTTCTGGGTGAACGATTAACAGTTATTGCTTAATAATAAAAATGCCCTAGTGGATAGTGCACTTGTTTGTCATGTTGCTGGTTTATCACTTTACTGGTTGGTCTGTTCACTGGTTTATCACTTTACTGGTTGGTCTGTTCACTGGTTTATCACTTTACTGGTTGGTCTGTTCACTGTCTTATCACTTTACTGGTTGGTCTGTTCACTGGTTTATCACTTTACTGGTTGGTCTGTTCACTGGTTTATCACTTCATTGGTTTGTCAGCTTGGTGATTTTGTCAGTTTTGTGATTTGGCAGTTGGATATTTCTCACGACGTTTAATGGCAGAATTGGTTTATGATGATGTCAGATTGTTGCTTTAGCCATCCATTGGTTTGTCAGTTCATTGCTTCATTGGTATATCAGTTTCCCAGTCAAGAAAAAGCACACAGGAAAAGCACTTGTGTAAGGAAAGAAGCCAAGCCCAATATGCAGTTTTAAACAGTTTATTTAGTGAGCCTAGAACTAGGACATTATTTTGAGTTATTTCTAATAGAGGATTTTTTGTCTTTCTTTTAATTAATTTTAGTGGTGAAGGATTCTTGATGTTTTGTTTGATAATAAATATGTTGGTTGAAACTTTTGGTTGTATTTGTGTAACCCTTTCATTTTGGTGATTGTTAAATCTTATTTTGTGTTTTTAAATTTTTTGTATTTCGCCTCCTTGGATTGTGAGGACCGCATATAGGTTCCAGTGCCTCTTTTGTGTTAAGTTAAGAGTCAGTATAATAGCACTCAGGACACTCCTATAAGCGCTCCATCCCCATCTTTAGCAGCAAGCAACGAGTTCCATTTCTGATGGCACCAGTAACTGTCTGATTGTATATCCGTTTAATCTTTTCTTTGATAATTGAGAATCAGCCAGATCCCCTGATGACTCCTCTCAGTGCCGTTCTCCTCATACCATACTAATCTTCAACACTCCCACCTTACCTGGAGCAAATATCCAAAGGATGCTAACTACCCAGGATAGCCTCTATCTTATGCTGAGTGAATAATGAAGTATATATCTGTAGAAAAGACAAGGTCTTGGAGGCGATTGCCACTATCTGTGCAGGTCAGAAATTTATTGTTGCCCTCTGCATTGAAAATTTCATTAAAGAATGTCATTATCCTAGCAGGAATTCAAACTCTTGTCACCTGAATAAAAGCCCAGTGCTTTTGGAAAGGAAATCTGGAAAAGAAGTGACCACTCCCCTTATGCATCATGCCCTAAAGTATGTGTAGGCTGAACACATCATATCCTAATGGTAATATTTGTTTATAGAGGTGTTGTGGGAAATAAAAGCACGGATAAAATGGGTGGTTTCCCTGTGTACTAAAGCTTGGCAAGACACACCTCAAGATATGTTTAAAACAGACATAATCACTGATTCACAAGACCTTCTTTTCTGTCTTCAGAACTGACTGTTGTTGGACTACCTCCTCCTGCCAGCGGTGCACTGACAGCGCTGATGTTGAACATGATAGATAAGCTGAGCTGGAAGGAGAACCAGGGCAACGACAGCTTGGTCTACCATCAGCTCATAGAGGTGACTCTCCTGTGGGGAAAATAAGTGAATGAGTGGGGAAATGAATGAGTAAAAAAACAAGTTAATAAATAAATGATTCTATAAAAGAATAAATAAATAATGAATAAATAAGTTAATTAATGAATGAGTAAACATAAAATAAAGGAGTGAAATGAATTTTTAAATAAGTAATAAATGAGTGCCTCATGAGAGCTAATAGACTAAAATGGTTGGGGCACATCGAAAGAATGTCAGATGACAGAGAAGTAAAAACTGTATACACAAGGGGCATGAATGGCCGTAGACCATGAGGCAGACCAAGAAGACGATGGAGAGATAATGTCCAGACAGACTAGCAAACACTTGGTATCACCAACTGTAAAGAGAAGGCCAACCAGAGAGATATCTGCAGCAGTGAACCTCAATGGCTCATAATGCTGAAGAAGAAGAAGTAATACATGAGTGAATGAATTAAAGTCAATTAGTTAATAAGTAAGTGAATGAATGATTAAACATACTGAATAAATGAGGAATTAGTAAATGGATAAGTGAATGAATGAATAAGTAAGTGAATTAATGAATAAATAAGTGAATTAATTAATATACAAATGAATGAATGAATGAATAGGTGAGTGAATAAGTAAATGGATGAGTGAATGAATGAATCAAAAATTAAAATTACTGCTCTCTGGGCACACCCAGATTTGTTCCTCGACTGAAGTTCTGCCTATCTTGTGCCTATGCATGGAGTATGATTGCAGATTCTCTATTCACCCCACACTGAATTAAAGAATGAGTAGCTAAATGATTAGCTCATAAAGAGAACCTGTTATTTGGATCAGAGGAAGGCGGTCAACATTCTTCGGGCATGACATTAGAAGGATAAAACCCCACATAAGCAGTCTTTCCCTTTACCAGTGGTGAAATGTTACACTTTCAATTACAGGGTCGGCTAAATTTATGACAGTGTTGTATTCTGACTAACAGGTCATAATTTGAACTGATCACAAGTCAAATTCAAACGGGTGATTGAATCATCATCATCAGGTGCCTTGCGTGGGTGATCATGCCTCTCCATAATCTGCTATCTCCTCCAGCATGTATCAGTTCGTGTGCCGACACACCCCCATGCCATGCAACAAGACTGTCAAGCATCTTCTCTCGTTGTCTTCCTCTATCTCTCCTTCCAAATATTTTCCAGTGGTCACAACATGTTCTATTTTCCCTCTTCTCATAACATGGCCGAAAAATGATGACTGTCTCCTTCTGATGTCTGTGATAAGTTGTCTTCGGGCTCCCGCCTCTTTTAAAACCTCTTGGTTGCTCTATTTGACTGTCCAAGGTATTCTAAGCATTCTTCTGTAAAACCACATCTCCGAGGCCTCCATAAATTGTTTGGCCTGCCTACCGATTGTCCAGGAATCACAGCCATATGTTAAAACTGGATGTATTTAGCAAGCAAGAATTCTTTTTCTAACTCTCAATGACAAGGATATATTGCACAAGATGTTTTTCATTTTTTAAAATGCAGTTTTTGCCTGTCCTATTCTGTTTCTTATTTCAGTTATGCATCTTCCATCTGATGTTATCCATGTGCCCAGATACTTAAATTTCTGTACTTGTCCTAAAATAACACCATCAACTTTTATTACACACTTAGGAATAATTCATTTCTTTGATACCACCATTACTTCTGTCTTCCCATTATTCAAACTGAGGCCCATTCTTCCACTTTCTAACACCACAATGTCTATCATTTCCTGTAGTTTTTTTTTTTGACTTGTTGCTATCAGGACTGTGTCATCAGCATAACGTAAATTGTTTATATTGTGCCCACCAACCACAATTCCGAGCATACCAATTAAAGCTCTCATTATATATTCACTGTATATTGAAAACAAATCAGGTGACAGTACACATCCTTGTCGTACGCCCCTCTTTATGCTTTGAAATGTACCTAAACAGTATAGCTGCTTTTTGCTGCCAATACATTTTCTTTATTATTCGTAGATCTTTCCCATTCAATGTTTAATTTTTGTAACAGTTTGATTACTTCTTCATGCTTCACACAGTCAAATGATTTTGTGTAGTCTATGAAGCATATGTACAAATCAGTCTTTACTTCTATAGCTCTTTCTGACAATGTCCTTAGGATGTATATGGCTTGGTTTGTACTTTTTCCTTCTACAAATCCACATTGTTCATCGCTGATTTCTGGTTTAATTTTGTTTTTTATTCTTCTCATAATTATTCTCAGTAAAATCTTAGTCATGTGACTCATAAGACTTATTGTGCGATGGTCTTCACATTTTATAGTGCCTGGTTTCTTAGGTATAGCTATAAATAAAAGCTGTTACGTGTCATCTTTCCTGTTAACATATTTATCTGTTGGTACATGGAATGTGAGTCTTTCCTGTTGTTTTCCCCAATCTCTGTACACAATTGATTCAGCCAGGCTTCTTTAGCCACTTTGCATTTGTTCACTATTTCTTTTTGTATTCTAGAGTATTCTTCTTTATCATTCTTTTTCTTCCTTCTTTCATCCATCAACTGCAGAATTTTAGTTGACATCTATTTTTTTTTTGCAACTTTTTGGGTTGGTGGGATTGTCTCTTTCGATGTCTGCTGAATTGACTCACGCAACATATCCCACTGTTCATCAATAGTCTGTATAATTTCCATTGAGGGTGATTGAAATTCTACTGAAAACACAGAAATTTGATCTGGGTACATATAATGATTGTATATAATGTGAAAAATACTTCATGTATACTCTTCTGTATTAATTCAGGGAACTTTTTATCCCTACCAGTGTAGTTATCTTTGTTCTTTATTTTGTGTGTGGTCGTAAGTACAGATGATTGTAAGTCATATGGGTCATTGTTTGAGGAGATGTATTAAATCTTTTGAGCTGATGGCTTAAAAGCCTTGGACACTAATTCTGGCCAAGAGAAACATTCTGAAGACAATTTATGATTGAACATTGATGGAAGATAATATGTTTGAGTAAAAAACATGTGTAAGATTGTGTTTCTGAATTTAGTGTAGATCTGGCAAGAAAGGATGTGTGAGAGGAAGAGTGTCTACAACTAATGTACTTCTGTAACAGCTGGCATCTTCAACTTTAAGACATTTTCTATAGGAGATAGTGCATGTATGGGGCTGCGCAGATTCCTAAATCTTTAATGGGAAAGTTGGAGGGAAATAGAGGTGGGGAGGGGGGGGGGGGGGGGGGTAAAGAAAGAAGATGTTTAGTCTATCATCATTGTGTGGAAGTACATCTATATAAGAAATTATTTTCAGTGCATGAGAGAGATGGCTATGAATGGATATGATGGCTAGTGCCAAATGGCTATGAATGGATATGATGGCTAGTGCCAAATGGCTATGAATGGATATGATTAGTGTCAGATGGCTATGAATGGATATGATGGCTAGTGCCAAATGGCTATGAATATAAATGATAAGTGTCAGATGGCTATGAATGGATATGATGGCTAGTGCCAAATGGCTATGAATGGATATTATGGCTAGTGCCAGATGGCTATGAATGGATATGATTAGTGTCAGATGGCTATGAATGGATATGATGGCTAGTGCCAAATGGCTATAAATGAATATGATTAGTGCCAGATGGCTATGAACGGATATGATTAGTGCTAGATGGCATGGACTGTTAGCAGAAAAAGGAGGAAGAACAAATCTAGCCTAAACATGTTTGAATAACTGATGGTCAGCAGGTATTGCATTGATCACTGCAGAGTTTCAGAATTGGTGGTTATATTGATCATTATTTCACAAGATGCAGCCACTGATTTTCTAATTTTCTAGGAAGGAAAGGAAAGGTGGAAGGGAAGTGGCCACTCCCCCTTATATTTCATGCCCCAAAGTATATGTAGGCCGAACACTTCACACCTAATGGCAGTATATGCTATGCTACCTTTACCTTTACAGAGGTGTTGTGGGAAGTAAAAGCAAGGATAAAATGGGTTGTCCCCCTGCGGGTTCCAGTACCCTGCGGTTGGAGGGGGGAGGGGGGGGGGGGGAAATAGACCCACTACCTCATAACAAGCATGCCAGAAAAGTATAATAACTGTTTGCTGAAATCAGATGTGCTGGGCAAAATTTGCCAATAGTACTATCCATCCCCCATCATACGCTTTTAAAACGTAATCTAAAAAGAAACCGAAGAAGAAGAGAAATAGTTAGCCCACCTTGTATTATCATCTAGTGTATCTGAAAGTGATCAGGGCTCAAAGACAACATATTGCAAACATCAGAAAAAGACAATCATAAATTTTTGCAGTCATGTTATAGGAAGAAGGAAACTGGAACACATGACCACTGGAAAGTTCTGTGGAAAAAGAGACAGAGGAAGACAATAGAGGATGATTTTTGACAGCTTTTTATTTTCCATAGTATAGAGGGATGTCAACACATAAACTGATACACAGTTGTTGAAGATCACAGATTGTGGAGATTGTGATTTCCCACGCTTGTTGACAAGGCACTTGGTGATGATGATGATGATGTACTAAAACCCAGCACTTCATATTTCTATGAATAAATCGACCTAGAGATAATCTTGATTGTATCTGATTTTCTCAGGTTTACAAGTTTGCATATGCACACAAAAGCTTTTTGGGTGACCCAGCCTTCAATGTGAATATGGACAATGTGACAGCACATTTGATTAGCCCAGAGTTGGCAGCAGAGCTGGTCGCAAAGATCAATGATAATACTACCTTATTCAACATTTCTGAGTATGGCACATCTCAATTCTTTCCCAGCAGCAGCGCTGGGATGTCCCATATTTCAGTTATTGATTCCTCTGAGCTGATGGTCTCTGTCACATTGTGAGTAGCCTGTTTGTTTGTTTGTTATATTCATCATCATCATATGTTATGCTAATGAATGTAGACTATCATGATTCACTATCCCAACAACCACTATAAACATGGTTTAGAGCAGTGTTTTGGTACCATCCCATCCGTGTGGCCAAGCAATCAAGGTATTTTTCTCTTTCAAAGCAATATTTCCTTATTGTAAATTTAAACAAAGACAACGCATACAAATGACTGCACAGTTTATCTCATCGGGTTCATACTAGAGTAAGTGTTGAATAAAGGGAAGCATGTAAATGAATCCCTTATAATCCTTTACTCCTTGAGATGTCTGCTGCATCGGACTGAGCATGAATGGGTGTCACATGACACGTCTGTCGCATCCCTTTAGTAGGGTTTCCCCTAGTAATTGAAGACACTCTGAAGCGACTTAATGTTAGATGGTGGCTCACATTGGTCTAGAAGTTACTCCATAGCTCCAACGAGCATCCAATATCACGTCAGGGGCGAGGTGACTATAATTATGATTCCCACTGTAATAACAAATATTCCTGGGCACAACTTGGCCTGACTTCCTCACCACTTAGAAGCTCCCAGATTAGGTAACAAACCTATCATAGTAAAAAAAAATACACATTAATGGAATCTGACCAAAACAACACCACACTCACAAACAATCTAACCTAAAAAATTGGAAAAGATTGGACACTGACAAATCTGAATCCAGAAAAATAATACATAATGTAATAGGGGCAACAAAGGTAAAGATTCTCAAAGGAAAATTAATGAAGATGACAAATCAAATGACACTACTGAATAAAGAACTGAACTATTCCAGAAAGACTCCTGGTCTACCTACAACTAAGTGTCTTGGGTAGCTGCAGCTCTGTTTTACACCCATAAACTCATAAGTGATGGACTTGATCCTCTCCACAATTTGTAGGCAGGACTTCAATAGGAGCAGTGCTGGCCAAGGTGTTAAGCATCAGTTCTTGCTGAGAAATTACATCAGGTACTATGCAGCAACATTTAAATGTGCAGAAAGCACTTATTGTTTGTGTTTAAACATACGGAAAGGTTCCCTTACAATAATACTAATGTCAACAATAAACACATCAACTTACAACATTCTGGTTGGGTTTGGCAGAAGAGCAGATCATGGACCCTGGATATCTGCACTTGATGATGATTGGCTGGTACAAATTGTCATATGTCAAAGGGATCTGATAAGGGCGTTGGCGTTCATTATTAACCAACTTCATGGCGTATTCAATCAATGAAGTGCGCCTGGTTTCTCTGTCAGGACAGAATCGCATTCTGACAAAAGTTGTGCGATAGTTTGTTGCTGGGAGAAAGAGATTTGATTTGATTCAACAACCGACATCACAGCACTCGAGGCATTCCTATAAGCGCTCCATCCAGCAACCAGCGAAGAGTTCTGATACTAATGGTGCCAGTAGCATTCTGATTAAACGACCGTCTTGCCTTTCCTCTGAGCCTCGAGCATCTGCCAGAACCTCTCGTCACTCCCCACTGCATCAATCTCACCAGACTGTGGTGATCCATCTGCTCCTCCGAACTGTACATGCTCTCCCACAAGGCACCAACCATGTCTGCCTTATCATGTATCAGTATTCCACCAAGTTGTGCAGAGCCAGCCAGTCTATCCGCCTGTTCATTCTCCAACACACAGGCGTCACCCGGTGAAAAAATCCAGACAATACATCTCACTCGTGTCCTCCGCAGCGAAGCATGCCACTCTGCACGAAGAATACCTGTTCTGATCTTCCTCAGCATGCTTTCTGAATCAGTTACCATCACAATGTGTGTGTGTGTTGTGTTCTCTAGCCAGCGGAAAGCTGCAGTGACCGCCTCCACCTCTATTCTTAAGCTGGATGTTATGGTATCATATGCTAGGCTCTCCTGCACCAAACGTTGACCATTAACCTTTGCTAAGAAGCCCCAAGCACTTCTTTTGCCTCTTGACATTGAACCGTCTGTGTAAATGATCAAATCCTCTGAGCGAGCATAACCTTGAATTAATTGCCGAATTTCCACCTCTGTGGCACCTGCTGGCCAGTCTCTGCATTTCCGGCTTAACGTGATTATGACTCTAGACAAGTCTAACTGTTCAGGTAGCACTTTGACCCACTCCACTCCTCGCCTAATGTTCTCAAGGATGCAAACCTGTCTGATTGTGTCTTCTGCCTGAGCCATCCATGACCTCCCTCTTTTCAGCCGCTGACCCTTAACTGCACCCAGAGCTTCATGCAGAGGGTGGTCTATGTCTGCAGCCACCCTGAGATATGACTTCGCCTGCATCACCTTGTGCCTCCTTGCAACCGTCGGCAAACCAAGGATGTATCGCATACACACCACTAGGTTGTCTCTGGTACAACCCAGAATGACCTGCATAGCCACGTTCTGTATGCGCTCTAGTTTGTCCATCTGACTCTTTGAGACGGTAAGCAGTCCCAGGCCATAATCAACCACTGACAGGATCTGGTGCTGATATAGTGTGAACAGCATTCTGTGCTCTGTGTCAATTGCAGCCATAGTCTTAAGTGCACTAAGTCCTGTTTGGCATCTCGTCACAACACTCTCCACATGGTCCTTAAATGACAGGCCTGTCAAATGTAATTCCCAGATACTTCAGTTTGCTCTCTCTGTTGACGTTTCTACCATCTATCGAGAGACTTGGGACATTAGCTTTAACGATTCTGTTGTCCAGAGAACACCACAAAACAGACGCCTTTTCCAGGTGGACGACAGCCCTCATTTCTGTACACCACTCAGTCACTTTGTCTACTGTCGATGTAGCTCCTGGGCTGTTTGTTCCCTCTCTTCCCCCTGCCTATATGCAAGTATATCATCCGCAAAAGTCAGTATCCTTCCAACTCCTGGTGCTTCTAGGCTTGCAATCTTGCTCGTATACACTTTAAAGAGCACAGGCGAGATGGCAGATCCCTGTGGGCCCAGTCGGAGAGCAACTCGACGTGAATACAGAACAGCTGCAACCCAATTCACCAGCCATGGACTGACCTCCTTCTCCCTCAGTGCAGTCATTAAGATGTCGTATCTCCCTCTGTTATAAGCATCCTCGAGATCCAGTCCTAACGCTGGGAGAAAGAGAGAGTTGGGCTTACCTCCACATCTTTATGGGTCTCCCTGAGATGAAGGGGATACTCCACAGCCATGGTTTTTCCGCCTTCCACCTCCATAGCTACAGAAAGTGTTATGAGAGTCTGAGAAGCACTCACCTCTCTCTCATTGTACTCCCGGAGGAGGTTCATGTGGTAAACTTTTGACTTACCTCTAACAATGATTCTATAGTGGATCCTAGAAATCTTCTCCAACACTGTAGGAGAGCCTCCCCAAGCTAGATCTATCTTGGATCTACCCGTTGGTAGAAGTAAAAAAACCTTATCTCCAACTTCAAGACATCGTTCCCTCATCTTCTTCTTCCTCTCTATTACTCTTCCTCTGAATTGCGATCCATTATCAGACAGTATTTGTTGAGGAAATCCAACATAAGTGAAATTGCTGATCAATGCTTCTGCTACACTCTTGCTGTCTATCTTGCGAAGAGGTATAGCCTCTGCCTAATCAGTACAACAATCTACAAGGGTCAGAATATAATCATTCTTCTTCTTTGAGAGGGAAGGTCCGACCAGATCAACTGCCACCTTCTCAAAATGGGTTGAAGTTATGGGAGTTTCTCCAATCTGATTGGTGCGTTTCTGCCTTTCGGAGCTACCCTTTCACACTCTGGACAGGATTTTACAAAACGCTTGATATCTGCTGTCAAACCCGGCCATAAGTAATGACAAGCAATGCGTTGTGTAGTGGTGTTGATTCCATATGGGCACTATAAGCAATATTGTGACCCATTTGCAGGATTTGTTGCCAATAAGGTTGGGTTACCAACTCGCTATGTTCATTATGTTTATCTCCTACCAAATGATACAGTAGCTTACTTTTTGAGGAAGTATTTTTTCTTCTTCAGACGATTATGACATTTACTAAAACACAAGTAAACCTCATTGATTATAAAGTATGAACATGAGAAAAAAACCATCTCCAATGAAATGTTACCAGTGAGTACACAGACCATGATAAACAGCCATATATCTTTTATGTACCAGCAACAGAAGATGGAGAATCTCCTAAGAGTATTAAGATACAGTAAATCATTCCTAGATACAGAACGATAGAAATGAGGAAAGGTATCTCAAATATCTGTTTCCTGAACCATGTGTCAGCGGCTGAAATGAATCTTCATGGTTTTTCACCTGTCTGGTACAATTCTAATATTGTATGTGAAATGAGCCCGGAAAAGAAAATCACAATGTATGTAATAATTATTGTGCTCACCTGAATGTAGATTTAGGACTATACAGTGTGTTCGGTCATAATGCTAGGTTTATAAGCTGCTTGAGGGCAGAGTTAAAGTTTCTTTTCAAAACAGCACTCACATCTCTAGTGACCTGAAGTGAATGACAATTTTTCCACAGAGTTGCTGGGGGCTAGTAGCAGTTCTATATGCAAAAGTGATGGGCTCTGATATCCTGGAAAATTGCAAACTATACAAACTGGGAATTTCCCATACAGCACCCATATACACATAGTGATATCCCTCTATGTTGTCTCTGAATAAAATGATGTCACTCTTGACTTAGCCAAGAGGAAAAAAATCAAAGGGTCAACAAGGACAGTATGTCATTCAAGGTATTGTTGTCTACTTGAAGCACTGTCTCACAGTTTAATCTTCCATTCCAAATTATCCGGTGCTATAGTTTCAGTATCATGACTGAAATCTACTCCAGCACCTCTCTTTCTAGATTCTTTTGGACGTCTTTGGTTTCTCAATTCATTTGTTTCAATTTTAGTACCTGTTTAGTGATTTTCTGTTTTTCCTTATGATGTGCCCATTATATCACCTTCTTCTTTGCCTGATAACTATGCATTTAAGAAGTATCCAGACAATTCACTAACTTTAGGGGGGGGGGGGGGGAGAAGGAGGGCTAAGGGGGGAGGGGGGGGGGGGGGTGATAAAGTTCATTCCATTTAAACATATTGTAGCAGATATTGACTTATAATAATAATAATAAAAGATAATTTATTACATTGTGAATGAAAAGATATGCTGTAGGGCAGTATGTATCATTACATAATTAAGACAGCACAGCAAATGTTAGAACATGTCATTTGTTTCACCATTTACAACAGTATTTTTCTGTCTTCAGGGGGATCAACTCTCAGTTTGGGAGTAAAATATTGCTTGCTGAAACAGGCATACTGCTCAATAATGCTCTAGAGGATTTTAATGATTTTACTGAATCTCCAGTAAGTTTTTCTTCTCTTTTTTAACTGTAGTCTTGTCCTAATTGTTGTTTTAATTGTATTTGTTAGCTGGCAGTCTAGTCCTCACCGTTGTCATTTTTTGCTTATACAGTGGTACCTAGGTAAATGTCCGCTCTGGTATATTTCCAACTTAGTATGCGTCCTGTTTATATGTAAAAGTTTTGCTTTGTATAAAAGCTTTGTTTGGATTAACCTTGTGTGCTAGAACTTGTATGAGTCAAAGTGAGTCATGACACTGCACAGTACCTTTGTTTATCTCTTTAATCAAGAAAATGTTTGCCAAATGGATGGATTTCAAAAACTGTGCAGATCAGTACCACCCTAACAAAGCCATAATATCATTACCTGCAATGACCAAACGATGTTACATTTAAAAAACATCCTGAGGTGGAAGCTTTTTGTTTTTGTTTCTTTTCTTAAACTCTTATTTTGAAATGACTAGGTATTACTACTGATCTAACTACAGCTATCACTACTGAAAATATGGCCTACCTGGCGAAGTGGTAAAGCTGTTTTACTTGCACTCTGAAGGTTATGATTTTGATTTTGGACTTCATCCTTTGGTTCATGAGTTTTGGAGTACCCTGGGCACCACTGTTGAAGCTGTGGAGCTCAGGATTTGTGCATTGCTTTCATAAGTGACCAGCCGCAGCAGGTCAAACCATATGAGGTCAAAAAATGCAGTGATGCAGATCCACTGTCTTTTAAACGAAGTAGTCATGCCGTTTGCCTCATACTCTGGAGGTTGTATGTTCATGTCATGGGTTGCATAGTTTGATTTATAGGTCCCCCCCCCCCTTTTTTTTTCCCCCAAGATATTCATATGGAGTTCTTGCTTTTTGCCTCACTCTGGACAGGCGGTTAGCCTTTCTGCTGAGAGGGTCCAAACCATATGGGGGGAAAACCCAATTGTAATGAAAGTAATCCTCTCTATTAAAACCCTTAAGCTCTCTTTCTCTATTTTGACACTTGACAGAATACCTATGAGCCTGGAAAGAGCTCCCTGTCCAGCATGAGCCCAATGATAATGTTCCACTCAGAACATCCATGTGCTCACAGGCTGATCATTGGGGCCTCGAATGGGGAAAAAATTCTCACAGGTAAGAATATACTTCATATGTTTGAAGTATAGAACCAAAAATTTAATGATCTTAAGTAATGCAGTGTTGGCAGAGTAGTAGTTATAATGTTTGCCTACCTAGACAGTGTTTGAGTTGAATCTTCACTACTGGTAAGATTAAATTTCCAGAAAAGTACAGAAAAGTAAAAAAAATGGTGTTGAATTCAAGAGGAGTGAAGACATAAGAGAAATGTATGGGCAACTACGAGTATCAAAAGTTATGAGATGGAGAAGATGGCGCTATATTGGACACTTCCTGAGAAGAGACAGAGAATCAACAGACAGAGACTGAGATGGGAAAGAGAGGGGTTAAGAAAACAAAGATGTCCAAGAGAGGCCCTAAAGCATTAATTAGAGAAAGCCAAAGATGCTTGACTGGATTCCATCTATTATATCAAAGAGATTGAAAAGGTTAGAACATAAAGAGAAATACACTACTAGTCCTATGCGACATTTTATGGCACAACAAGACAATGAACGAATGAATGAAAAAGTACAGATCTGGGGTCAACCCCGTCCATAATATTGGAAATCACACAGTATTGACAATTTTCTGCATATTATTTGCGAAGAGAAGGCAACGAGGAAGAGAATTAGTTACCCTCATCTTATATCTCATGACCTAGAATATGTGGTCTAACATCCCCCCCCGCCTTTCCCCCCAGTAGCAATAACTGCTGTGGAACTGTCTTGTCAGTGCAATAGAAGTTTGTAATAAATAAATTCCAAATAGATGCCACTGCACTCTAGGCCAGTGGTTTTCAACTTGTTTCAGGACGTGTCCCCCTTAAACAAATGGCAAGGCCACCCCCCCCCCCCCCACCCCCCCCCCCCCCCCCCATGGGATAAAAAAAATAGGACAGAAGAGAAAAATCCCAAGCATTATTAACAAAAACTTAAATAAAAACATCCAAATAAATCAAAGTGTCAAATAAATAAAAGAAAACAATAACCACCACCTGTTGATTTATTGCATGCATAGTGTCATGCCTACCCACCTGACTTACAGCCGAATCAGTCTTCAGTCTTTAGCCACACAAAAGGATACACCTTTTTGTTGAAAGATATGGAGGAGTTTGAAACTGACATAGAATCGTATCTGCCAAAGAATATCAGTGGAAGCATAACAGTGGAAGCATATTCTTCTTTTTCGTCTTTCGTTCGCTTGAAATAGATTATCTATTGTATTTGGAACGGTCTTGGAGGATGTGATCTGTATTCCCAGGTGCCAATCCACATGTGCACGTGGCTGATTCACTGATTTTAAATTTTGTTCTGTTCTAAGGCATGGAATAATAATTTGCTCTGGTCTGTCCATAATAGGGTAACCATCTTTTGCCAGTTTTGATGACTTTCTGATTGATTTGATTATTTTCTTTTTCTATTCTTAAGAGATGGTACGTCAGGTTATTCTTTATTTGCACCTTCCTTAGCTAGTTATCAGCTCTTCATTTCCAGGAACTCCACATTGGGACGGTGTCCATTGCAAAGTTACCTTACACCAGTTGCTTGGTTTGCAGAGTAGTGTTCATATACCAGCTCTTGCATCTGTAAGGAATACCACATTTTGTGACATATGACATATATTAAACAGTTTCTCTGCTGCTATTTTGATGGCTTAAACTTCTGCATCATAGTTGTGATAGTGCTTTTTTGTAGGTATTTCCTGAAGAGGAAGCGTATCAGTAGCAGCATATCAGTGGAAGCATATCAGTAGCAAGCATATCAGTGGAAGCATATCAGTAGCAGCATAATAGTGGAAGCATATCAGTGGAAGCATATCAGTAGAAGCATATCAGTAGCAGCATATCAGTAGCAGCATAATAGTAGAAGCATATCAGTGAAAGCATATCAGTAGCAGCATATCAGTAGCAGCATATCAGTAGCAGCATATCAGTAGCAGCATATCAGTAGCAGCATATCAGTAGCAGCATATCAGTAGAAGCATATCAGTAGCAGCATATCAGTAGAAGCATATCAGTAGAAGCATATCAGTAGAAGCATATCAGTGGAAGCATATCAGTAGCAGCATATCAGTGGAAGCATATCAGTAGAAGCATATCAGTAGAAGCATATCAGTAGAAGCATATCAGTAGCAGCATATCAGTAGCAGCATATCAATAGAAGCATATCAGTAGAAGCATATATTAGTAGAAGCATATCAGTAGCAGCATATCAGTAGCAGCTTATCAGTAGAAGCATATCAGTAGAAGCATATATTAGTAGAAGCATATCAGTAGCAGCATATCAGTAGCAGCTTATCAGTAGCAGCATATCAGTAGCAGCATATCAATAGAAGCATATCAGTAGAATATCAGTAAGCATTCAGTAGAAGCATATCAGTAGAAGCATATCAGTAGAAGCATATCAGTAGCAGAATCATCATGGAAGCATATCAGTAGCAGCATCAGTGGAAGCATATCAGTAGAAGCATATCAGTAGAAGCATATCAGTGGAAAGCATATCAGAAGCATATCATATATTAGTAGAAGCATATCAGTAGCAGCATATCAGTAGGAAGCATATCAGTGGAAGCAGTCAGAAGCATATCATTAGTATCCGTGGAGCATATCAGTAGAAGCATATATTAGTAGAAGCATATCAGTAGCAGCATATCAGTAGAAGCATATATTAGTAGAAGCATATCAGTAGCAGCATATCAGTAGCAGCATATCAGTAGAAGCATATCAGTAGAAGCATATCAGTAGAAGCATATCAGTAGAAGCATATATTAGTAGAAGCATATCAGTAGCAGCATATCAGTAGAAGCATATATTAGTGGAAGCATATCAGTAGCAGCATATCAGTAGCAGCATATCAGTAGAAGCATATCAGTAGCAGCATATCAGTAGCAGCATATCAGTAGAAGCATATATCAGTAGCAGCATATCAGTAGAAGCATATCAGTAGCAGCATATCAGTAGAAGCATATATCAGTGGAAGCATATCAGTAGCAGCATATCAGTAGCAGCATATCAGTAGAAGCATATATCAGTAGAAGCATAAGCATATCAGTGGAAGCATATCAGTCAGAAGCATATCAGCAGCATATCAGTGGAAGCATATCAGTATCAGTAGAAGCATATCAGTAGCAGCATATCAGTAGGAAGCATATCAGTAGAAAGCATATCAGTAGTATCAGTGGAGCATATCAGTAGCAGCATATCAGTAGAAGCATATATTAAGCATATCAGAGGAAGCATATCAGTGGAAGCATATCAGTAGAAGCATATCAGTAGAAGCATATCAGTAGCAGCATATCAGTAGCAGCATATCAGTAGAAGCATATCAGTAGCAGCATATCAGTAGCAGCATATCAGTAGCAGCATATTAGTAGAAGCATATCAGTAGCAGCATATCAGTAGAAGCATATATTAGTAGAAGCATATCAGTAGCAGCATATCAGTAGAAGCATATATTAGTAGAAGCATATCAGTAGCAGCATATCAGTAGAAGCATATATTAGTGGAAGCATATCAGTGGAAACATGTCAGTGGAAGCTTACCATTGGAAACATAACAAAGGAAACATATCAGTGGAAGATATTACATGTGAGTGGACAGCATCAAGCGGTGGTCAAGAAAAGTATGCATGAAAACACTTTAGAAGGTGTTAGAGATTGTACAGGTGTCTTTCAGTGTATAGATTCCATTTGATAATAATGAGAACTGTTTTTAAGTTCACTACTGAATACACCCAGCTGTCTAGACATGTGACTTCTTCCTCTTATACCTTTGTGTTTCCGCTGATATAAAACACCCACTGCACAGCTGCCTACAAGTAAACAAAGGTAAGTGCCTAAAGAGGGTGTCGAACCTGAATGGCAGCAACAGAGGATACCATAAGCCACATTTTCCCACTGGAGCTTGTCAGGCTCGATGTTGAATGGGTAGAAACACCAAAACAATTATAGGAGCATACTGAGCTAATAATCACCCTGGGTAGGTATTACAGAGAACAGAGTCAAGCAGCTGCTGATGATGCTGAAATAAGGGCCCTCATCCACGAGCACACTTGACATTTGACCAAACCAACTACTGATTTAAGAATTAAAATCACAGCATAACCATAGATTCTCTGTCTGTCCCAGCAGATGTCTTTAAGGATGCCAATTTCTCCTGTAGCACAATGGTTGTACATGCATCGTTCATTTCCTGTTATAGATCATACCAAGATTTTATGTTATTACAGAGCTGTGTCTGAATTCTTTCCACTATATTACTTAAATTAAGTTTTAGAGTTCCGCATTGTCAAAAAAATGAATTCATTTCCGTGCCTTTAGTCCTGTTTGGTATATGGTGCTAAGTCTTTGTTGTTCACAACTAATGGGTTCTTCGCCCATGTGTTACCGGCAACCTCACGGCAAAGCAACGGGGATAAACACTGTACCTTACCAGGCATGTTGTAAGAGGGGATGAGGTGGGGTTGGCTACCTCATCCCATAAACAACAGTGGCTGCACAAATCAACCCTTTAAAAAAGTCTATTAGAAAATGAAGTTTAAAAGATATGGAGGCATGTGATGGCAAAGGATAGGATGATTTGACATGAGCTGGTTAAAGCATTGGGGATAAATGATAGAAAAAGAGATGCTTTAGATGATCAGTATTATGTTAGCTGCCTTTACTATTGAGAACCTTTCCTGGTGCCCATTTTAGATTGGGCTCGTTTGGGAGCCAGTTTCAGTGTTTAGTTGAGAGAATTGAGTTAAGAATTGACATCACTACATTTTGAGCATTCCCATAAGTGTTCTGCACACATCATCAGCGGTCAGCACAGAGATCCATTATCAGTGGTACCAGGTGTCTTGTATTTCCTCTATGTGTTAAGTCTCAGCCATGTCCAGAGGACTGCTTGCTGTGTCTTTCTCTCTAGACCATGATGATCTATTTGCTCTTCCATAGTTTTTTCATGTTTCCAGAAGGTTTTGACCACATCTGCCCTGTCATCCATTTGTTCACCACTCATGATTGCAGAACCAGCCAATCAGTCTGCCTATTTATTTCACTATGCTCCAGCATATCCTGACAGAAATAAGAGCATACTTTGAATATTTTCTTCACAATGTCAGTAAAAAATTTTTTTTTTCTTACTGGGGATTTTAAATGCATAATTTCAGCTAAAATAAATTATATGCCCATTCCATTCCATCTGTGTCCTCAGGTATCGTCGAGACTGTGGTCAACTCTGTGGTGTTTAAAATGAGTCTGGCTGATGCTGGTGCAGCTCCAAGGGTGCATGACCAACTGGTTCCAAACGTAACATATTGTGAGGGTAAGTTGAGACTTGAGTGGATCTGCCCCTTGTCTTCAGATGGGAGCATTGGCTCTCCAGCCATTTCAACCACCAAGCACCCTGGTTCCTCTTAGAGGAATTCATATTTGGTAGTCTTTTACAGGCTTTGAAATTGTCTGATGTGGGGTATCTAACGCCAAGACTAACCCTACCCCTTAGTTGCCTCTAGGACATGCTGGTCAAGTACAGTGTAGAATGCTTTGTTCCCAATTACCTGTGTTTATATAGTTGAACCCAGGAGTGAACTTGCCCTAGCAGTTACATGATCAATCTCATGCAGTAGACTGGGGTTCAACCACTGGTGAGATGATGAGAGTTTTTTTTCTGTCAGGAGCAAAAATTAACATCCTAACCTGCACAGTACATGGCAACAACACCGGCCAGTGTGGCCCTAATTCCCTCAGCACTCCCGACCAGATCCTCTCTGCTACTTTTGCCCTTCTGCTTCTTCTTAAAGTCCATTGCCAGTGGCGTTGGTAGTCATGTTTATTCACAACCCTTTCAGTCCAACTCTGATACATATGATCCTCCATACCTAAATGTCAGTTGTATAGTATCTGTTCTCGGGTCTCCCTCTGCCTCTCCTCCACCCTCTGACTTTCCTACTGTCACAACATACTCCAGTGTTCACTCCAGTTCTTCTCATCACATGGCCAAAGAATGATAATTGTCTCTTTCTGATGTGGGAAATCAGTTCTCTTTGGGAGTCAGTTTCTTTCAAACAATCTTCATTACTTTGATTTATCTGTCCAGTGTATTCTCATCATTCGTCCTGTAAACTTTGCCGTAAAACAATGGTTAAAGACAGACAGCAGTGGCAGTGGTGTTTTTTTTTAAATGTTGAACAGGAATTTTGGGGTTTGCTTTTGTTTTTCTTTTAAAATGTTTTCCAGTTTAAAGACTTTTTATTTTTTAA